ATTATTAAGGCCCAATAAAATCCAATCATGCTTATCCGTTGGGGCCTCACATGATTATTTTATTGATAGGCCCACAATGCGTCTGGAGGTTAAATTAATTTCTTAATTTAAATCTCCTCCCATAAATATTTAAGTCCAATCTAATAAAATTCAATCATGCTTATTGGATGGGACTTCACATGATTATTTTATTAATGGTCCTATAATGCGCTTGAAGGTTAAATTAATCTCTTAATTTAAATCTCCTTCCATTCAACATAAGCAACATTTTCTAATTTCCAAGAATTATTTAATTGAGAGTATCCTTTGTTCGATTTCAAAAACTATATAAGTAAGAGCGCCGATAAACGTGCACTAAACTTAACATAATTTTGAAAGCATTAAGGTCCTGAAATCCGGTCACTTTACGTCAGCGTGTGCTCCAAACAATCATGATACATGAAGGTTGTATGCAGCGTGTGTTATTCCATGACCATTTCAGAAAACCCACAAATTACTCGCAAAATAAAAGAATTCTCGTAGGAAATTTTCTCTAATTATTTTTCTAGATTTAAATCAACCAAATAGCTGACTTAATTATTAATCTAGATTGCAACAATCATAATAATTATCATTTATGAGGATAATTTGAAATCAAAATAATTTCCATAACGATTATTTGTCTTGATGTTAATTATTCAAAATTAATTAATTCAATTATTAATCTAGATTTTTAATAAAAATCATAATAATTATTAATTAATTTCTTAGGATGATTTAAAATCAAAATAATACCATAATAACTATCATACTAGTCGCTGAAGACATAATAGCTATTATGCTCATGCAATCATACAAGTTATGCAACAGTATGGCACCACCTATTCTATATGGCATGTTATCGCAATAAAGCATGTTATCAATCATATAATTTATACCAATCAATAAAAGCATTAAATAATAAATCATAATTACTTTAATCCATGGCCTTCCTATTTTAAAGAAAATTAAATTAAATTAAATTAAATAATACAACTTTGGAATTCGACTTTCGCCTAGCCCATAGTATCTGTCTCAAGCCCCTTTAGGGTTTCATAGGCCCAAAAGCCCAAAGACCCAATCCTTTGGCGAGAAACCCTAGGACGCGAAAGAGGAAACCTAGCCGTCAGGTCTGCCGCGCCGTCACCCGAAGTCAAATCAGGCTGAAACTCCAGGGGAAGGACCACCACGTAGAGACGAGTGCACCGCCGCTGGAATCACCCAAAAAGGTGGCCGGACGCACCCTCACTCTCCCATTCTTTGCCGGAGAGTGGCGGCCACTCTCATCCTCTTGTGGAAGCGCGTGGTAAAGCGTGGAGTCTCCGATGGCGGTGATCCACCCACCGTTGCATTCGTCTTTCCGTCCTCTTTCCAACCATATACAGATCGCCCCATTCCGAGATTGTTAAGTCCTCGAAAAGTCTCCGACAGTGCTGACTGCACATTTTCCTCGCGATTTCTCGATCTTGAACTTTTACAAAATATTGAAAAAATACACAGAAATTCCGAAAATAAATAAAAACAGCAAGGAGGAAACCTAATCATATGGGATTAGCCTCCTTGTTACAGATCGAGAAATACACGAGAGACCCTAACCATGGATTAAAGCATTTTTACCGATTAAAATTTAAACTTTTATGAAAATGAATTATAAAATACACATGCTAGATTCATACCATAATCCTAGAACACTAGGTGCCACATTTCAAGAAGCAAAACTAATTACATGAATAGTGAAACTAGATTCACATACCAATGTACAGCCAAGGCTCTGATACCAATTGTAGGAAATCTTAGATTTATGCGGAAGCGGTTTAGGACCTAGTACATTGGTATGCTTACCGAATCATCCTTGTTTCACAATTACCTCTCGGTGCGCAGGTCTCGTGTAGAATCTTCCCTTGTAGGATTCCTCTTCACGAACAGCTCACCTCAGCGCCGCAGCACGAACAACCTCCTTGAAGCTGGACTGTGGCAGATCTTCCAGACTATCGCTCGAGGAGGATGAGATGGTTGTGTGGGCAACCGTTCAGATGATGAACGTATGAACGTCTGCCTCTTGGGGTTTGTTTCTGATGATCTGTTCACCTTGGAGGCACAAGAGGAGAAAACTATGAATATATACGCTTAGGTCTTAGACATAACTCAACCCTAAGCCTCATGGGCTCAAGTGTCACTGAAGCCCAATAGGACTTTAGTGACCAAAAGAGCATATATCCAACATTTATTGTTTGGTTGAACTGAGAATCTTAAGACTTTCGTGCTACCTTAATTAAAAGGTCATTTTTAGATTTTTGATTTCCGCATGTACGTTCTTCTATGCCTTCTTGATCACTATTTGTTGTGTACTCTTGTTTTATTTAAATTTCCCATGGTCTATATGCCTTATCGTAAATAGTATTATCTTTTGAAGACTGGATATTCAAGTTTAAATAAAACTTGTTATACAGAGTTTAACGTTTGCATATGCTTCGTGAATTGTTGTGGTGGGAAACACGAGAATTAACTCAAAGCAAAAAAAAAAAGAAAATGGTGGAATCTTTGATTTTTCCAGAGCAAGTTAAATGCTTGTGCAATATTCAACTTGTCTTATTTAATTCTATTTCGTGAAAACTGTTAGCAATTAACAGTTTCGATTTTTGTGCCATACCCATAACAAGAAGATATTATTCCATGATATTAGTTGCGTGGATGACTAGTAGCACGTTATTCTTTTAATGTGTTTCGTAAAACGTGGATTGGTATATTGCAACTGCTAGCAATTTTTTTTAAAAAAAGTGTTTCGTAAAACGTGGATTGGTCTATCGCAACTGCTAGTGCTAACAATATATTGCAACGTGGATTGGGTTTGATTTCTTTTTATATTCAAATATAACAAGAAATATATTTTGGCCATGTTACAATATTTTTGGAAAAGATATTTGGGTGTTTTAATTTATTTGTCCTATAAGTTTTTTAAAAGTCACAAAAGATGTTTGAGAGTTATAAAATTGATACACTGTTTTCGTTTCTAGCAATTGCATTATATGAGAAAGATATATTTAAATATATTTTTTACTGTTGTTTATCAAGTTGTTTCTTGAACCGTTTCATAAAATGTATCGTGTCATTATTGTTCCGCATTTTGTTTTATCAATTCCGATTTTTGCCGTTACACTTTTTTGTTGATTGATTCAATTTAGTAGATATACTTCTTGAATCGCATCGTCATATTTGTTTGAAAAAGATATATCTTAGTGTTGTCTAATAAATCTATTCAAGTTCCGATTTATATTATTCAAGTAAGAATATGTGGGCACGATTTTTGAAATATTAGTCAGTTCTGATTTATATAATAACAACTATTCAAGTAAGATATATCTAAATATTTTACTGTTTCCTTGTTATATTGTGGGCAAGATTTTCGATTTTCAAGGCACCATTAAATATTTTACATGTTATCAATTATAAACAACAGAAATATTATATCACGATAGAAAATAAAAAAATATATCTAGGAATTTTTTTTACCGTTTGTGATAAATCATTAACAAAACTTGATATCTAGTCTCTTAGTTTTTTTTTTATTAGTATTATTTCTATTTTATTTTTTAGTTGCAAAGCCAAAAAAAAAAAAAAGTAACAAAAAAAAAATAAATATAGAAGTTACCAGATTCTTTAGTTGTAAGTTGTAACAATAACCCCCTTATGTGTGGGTTTGATCAACCGCCCTCCCTCACCGCCCTTGTCAATAAAGTTGGATGGATTGTTTTTAAATAATCCCACGTGAGCAGCTTTCAGAAAATAAAGGGTTTAGGAAAAGAAAAAAACTGAAGGAGAGAAAAGAGAGTTTTTTTAATGGTGCTAGAGATTTCTAAAAAGAAAACCAGAAAATTTCTTTGAGAGAAGTGTCGAACTCGAAAAGGAAAGGATTCAGAAACAAAAGATTAGATTAGAAAGAAAACTTTGACGGTAGTTAATATTTTCGATTCTCATTGGACGCGCCATAAAAGTTTCAAGGAGGAGCTAGCAAAGAGGTAAGATTTTAAACCCATGTGCTTATGCATTCAGTCTCTGGGGTTGGTTGTTTGGTACCATGCAATGCAATATTGCTCTATATAAGGTTACATTTGCAGTCCTTTTCCATTCTGACCAGTTCACTTGGAGATGTCTGTGATACTGTCTTTCATGCTCGACTGTTTTTTTACGCATTTAGTTTGAATTTTATTCTTAAAAGTTCATTTGGGCTGATTAGATTTTATTTATTTGTTTATTTTCATCTTTTGTTTCTTTTCTTTTTTTTTGGAGTTACCCAACCCTAATTATCTCTTTGAGACGAGTTGGCTCCGGTATCCCCAAGAGCCACTACAACAGAAACGGTTTTTAATGGCGGTTCTTTTAGCATTTGGCGGCAGTTTAAACGGCCACAAAACTTTTTGCAGGCGGTTCTAAAAACCAACGTAGAAATTGGGGACGCTATTCTTTTTGCGTTATTTAAGGTCGATTTTGAAAACCGACGGAATAACCGCCGTAGTATCTTTTTTTAGGTTTAAAAAATAAAACGGCTGTTTTAAACAGCCGTTATGATTTTAGGAATAAAAAATAATATTAGCAGAATCTTCATAACCGGATATATTTTTATAAATAAAAAGGAATTCGTTTTTTAAAATGATTTGGTCAAAAGTAAAGAAGTAAATCTAATATTAATCTCATGAAATTTAAATTTAAAATAAATTAAAAATAATGTGTAATTTCAATCCATTAATTTTTTATTATTTAGCATCATCATCCCCTAAAATGGTATTAAAATAAAAATCCTTTGCTCAAATTGAAAAACAAAACTATATACATGTGTGAAATGAGCATGCACACAGAGGAATTCTTAAACGTGCATAAAAAATTTCTTTATAACAATATTTTTCATGCGATTTCCTCGAAACCTATTTTACCAATCAATTTTAACTTGAAATCTAGTCAACAAGAAGCTTCTTGAACTCTATATAAAAAAAATAATTACTAAACCTATATAAAAAATCACTTCCTCTAATCGCATAACCTTTCCAGGGGACAAATTAAGAAGCTCTTCAATTTCCCGCGACAACAAAAAAATGCAATCAGTTACCTAAAATACAATTTGTGAAAATGCATGTGGAATAAAAAAATAAAGTAAAAAACACAAATAGCAAGTTGATTTGTTAAACCATGTTTAGTGGCATGGCAACAAAATGTGAGAACAAGGTACATATATGGTATAACAAAAAAAAAAAAAAATTGGCTTAGAATAGATATGTAGGTAGTAGAATACCTCTTCATTGAGCACAAGGCTCTGCACCTTCGTATTATTAGGCCCTTCACTTGATTCCTCATCCAATTCATCATCTCTATATTGTCCAAGTAACTGCAGGGGATTCTGTGGTTGTATACCTGAAGACAAAATGCCAGCATGTCAGAAACTATGAAAATGATGGATTATTAATTATTTAATAGCAATAATATTTGAAAAGAATGCCAGAAAGATTCAAAAACTATAAAAGCGAGTGCTACAATCGAAAAGAAAGACAAAAAAGAAACTTAAGGATGCAAATAGATTCACAAGCATTTTAGCTTGTATCATGAGTCACCTGTTACAGATGGGAAAATGTCAGTAAGCCACTAAGCATATAAAGCCAGAAACATAAGAACTGCTAAAACTTTCTACTGTCTGAACCGCTATCAAATTTCTTATCGAAGGGGCATTTTCCGATTAATAAGGTTATTCGGCCATTGTAGAAAACCTCATGTGACAAAGAAAATATGGATTGGGGATTTGTGGTGAGAGTGAAAGAGTGGCGAATGTGGCCTAACCAAGAATTTTCAAAGTTAGAAGACACACATTATAGAGTAGGCCCAGACTTAATTTTTAGATTTAGGAGATTTAGATAAACCACTCGTAAAAAGAGCCACAAATCCCTTATATCAGATTTAAGGGCTTTTATGTTTAACCGACATAAATTAATCACCATTAAATCCCTCTTTTGTCGTAGTGTTATAACTCTTAAATAAAATCATAAGAAGTTAATAATATTTACATACATCATAAAGTTAAAAAAGGACAACTAAAATAAGTATACTTTAGCTCTAGTATACTTCTCCAAATAAAGAAAGAACTCAACAACCCAACCATTCTCTCCTCATGGAAACCAGACGCTGATTGCTGCCACTCTAGTAGTTGGTACGGTGTGAATTGCTTTCCCCATAATAAACGTGTTGGCTCTCTAACTATCTCATTCGACAATGAACTTAACTCTCAAATTCCACCCTCCATTTAGTAACCTACCTTTATTGGATGACCTATATTTCAACAAATTACCAAACCTCACAGGCCCAATCCCTGAGTCCATATCCAAAATCACAAATCTCAAATACCTCACAATAAGCTCAACCAGCATATCAGAAGTCAGAAATTTTTGTTTGCGCTATAAATTTTACCTAGTTAGGTTCTAATTTTAGAGAGATTGTACTTTGAAACTATTTGTTGCTTACTTGGAAATGAGAAGATTAATGCACGAGACTCCCTGAAAGATATCAGAATTTCGACCACACATTACCATGATTTCCTGATAGATCTATATTTACTACCAAAATAAAACTCTCAAACTAAATAATTAACACATTATTTGGGTCCTACACAAAAGATACCCAATACATTCATGAAAAATCCACAATAAAATTTTCATGGATAATTTTACATTTAATTTTTAAATAAGTTAGACAATAGTAAGAGAATAAAAAAAAGAGTTTATACCTCACCAGTGAATTGCACAGTTGTAAATTTATTGTCAATCCCAGATGTACCTTCAAAAACCTGGTCATTCATACTAGAAGGTAAATAAACTTTAACCTACTCTTTGTGATAGCAGCAGCAGATGATAAAACTAAACAGACAAAACCATTTGCTATTGAAGTCAAAACAACTACATAAACAAAGTAGACATCAATGAAGGCTTTTTCTTACCAACTCATAAAGATTGAGAAACAATAGGAGAATCTTATAATATTTTGGTTATAGGTAAAATATAAAATAAAACAAAGACATCATGATCTCAAAGATAAGAGAGAATTGTCTCCTCATGATATATATGTAACTACAGATGATTACTGATGCACTGGGAAGTTAGGCAGTAGGAACGCACCTGAACAACAGCTTTTTCACCATCAACTTCTAGAACTTGTCCAGGCCGAGTAGTTCCATCCCCTAAGCGAATATTAACAATCTCTTGATATTTGGGTCCCTGATGCAGTTGATCAGTATAAAATTCAGTCACACCATACAGAAAGAGGGACATCCTCATGGAAGAAAAGTTCAAAACTTTGGAATATGTTATAAGCATACCAGAGAGAGTAGTAACATGGTCATTACTCATTACCTTAACTTTATCAAGAATAACCAATGGTCCAGCAACCCCAGACACAGTTCTATATTCTGCAGCATTAACAGACAATTCAACAAGTTATCAATTTTAAAAAATGATCAATCCAATACCCTTTCAAAAATGTCTCTCTTAGTTTCTTTTATTTTCATATATAGTGTGGAAATTAATATAATAGGTAAGATTTTAAGCCACAATCGGATGCCTACAGTGGGAGTAATTGGGGGAAATACGAGTGTGACCAATAACTAGTTGCTAATCACAATTATATTCCCCATATAAGATGCAAAAACCCTTATATTACATTTCCCGTTAATTGAAGTGCAGCATAGATTTCAAGATGGGAAAAGGGAGCAAAAATTATGCAACAGTACATCCGATTCCGTATTACCCAGTATGATGCTATAGTTTAATCATCAGCAAAATATCTCTCCTCTGCATCAATATTGGCCTCCCTCTGCCAATGATCGTCAAGAGAATCATCATTATCTATTTTAGAGTAATCTAGATGTTCGTGATCTTCCCCTAATAGAAACTTCTGCTGCATAATGTAAGTGAATTGATTCATCCGGTACTCAGAGCTCTTCTGCAGATAAAGTTGATTCCCGACTCTCTCTGGCTAGATCATCAGATAGGGCATCATCATCAACTACATCAGGCTGATTCAAGTGCCTCTGCCAATAGCAAAAAAAACAATCATTGAAGCCCACAAAAAATACGGCAAACATTATAGCACTAAAATATCTCCAAGTCCCAAAAGATGAGGAGGAGCGGATCCAAAAACAACTGACTTAGTTTCGGTGGTCGTCAAACTGTTTAAAACAGACAATTCATGTCAAAGAGATTATAATTAAAAAATCAGAATTTAATCCAAAATATAACCATCAACGAAAAATCACATTGCTTCTCTCGAGTTCTGAAGACAATATAGTGTTTATTGCTGGAACACCATAATCATTGGGAACATATGCCAGTAGTGACCATGTTAGCAATTACAGAAGAAATTACTAGGAAAAAGATTTTACATATTAACATACAATCTTATCATTTCATATAGTGATTGGTCCATGTACGGTACAAGAGTATATAATACACAAGTAAGTGGGTCAAATCAAATGTAGAAGAAAGTTCATAAAGTCAATTCCAAACGGACTAGCCTATCCTGTCATATCGCATCATGGTAGATATAGAGTTTTAGTGGACGATAAGTATCCCCAACAGAGCTTTCATGTTAGAAAGTCAAGAGAGAAATAAAAAAAATTAAAAAATGAGAGAGAACGATATAACTACAGTAATGAAGGATAGAAAACAAAAAAAATAAAATATAATAAAAATAAATCAATTCTAATAGATTTGGGTTTGGCAAAAAAAAAAGGTGTATTCTCAATGCTCCAATACCTATCCTACAAAAATATTCGTTTCTGAAGATGAGACAGAGAGAATATGTATCTCTTGTTCTACTTGTGACAGAGGAACATTCCATTGAGAGGCAAAACAAAGTATATCTGCACTCCACAAAAATCACATTAGTTTCAGCAATAACGATTGCCATAGAGTTATCAATTCCAGTAGCAACAGACAAAATCAACACAACAAATAAATAAGTACGAAGTAATACCGAAACAAATGCAGAATACAAAACGTGAGAGTACCAATCAAGGAAGCCTGGCACACAGCATACAAACATTCACGAAATAAATAATTTGAAATTAAAAAGGATTTGTGAAAGTGGAAGAACATTTACCTTGAAATGCAAAAAAATTGATTCCACAAGAGGGCGATAAGAACCTTGAAAAAATTGGGGAGAAACATAGGAATTAGAGTCAAATTAGGGAATAAAGTTGTTTCGAGAGTAACGCCTAAAGAGAAGAAAGTGCAAACCCTTGGGGTGAGGTCAATAACTGTAAAAGAGAAAACCCTAAGACAGAAAGAAGAAGAAGATGATTTGAATTTTTTAATCATATTTTCCCCTAATATTCGTTTAATAGACGAATAAGGTTGAATACGAGAAGAGGAAGAAAGGAAAAATAGTAAATGCTTCACGGAAGCAAGTTCGACTAAACTCTAACTCAGGGAAAAATGGGAGATGAAAGCGTCCCGTGTGATGGTGTGAATAAAATCTCTAGGATCAGGGGCGGTTTTTTGGCCCGCCTAAAATACACCGCCTCTGTGTTCCGTTTTTATTTTAGCGAGATTCGACTCTTTGAGTCGGCTATGGGACTAATCCGGAGTGCGGGAAAACAGTGATGACTAAAGGTTCAGCATGCATTCCACGGGAATCGAACACATATCCAACCCCATTAACTCAGCGCCAAGTTACCAACTGAGCTGAATCTAACACATCTTTTGTTTCTTTCACGTGGGTTTGATTTAGAATTTGAATAGTTGTCCATAAATGCTGTTGAGATAATTAATATTTTATATAAATTTGTCAATTTGTTTTGATAATATAGAAAGAACAGACATGTAACAAAAAAGAAAATAATATAGCATTGTCTGTGATTTTCAATGTTAATTGACTTCGTGGCCCTATTCTTTCATCAAAAAGAAGCTCCAAAGTAAAAGTTAATTGTTTCAAAAGACAAAATACACGCATTCGAGGTTAAATTTTTCAATGTCTTATTAAATATTCATTCTTTTTTCAGCTCTCTTTCTTTTCCCAGTTCTAGTTATCATGTAGGTATATGCATATGTCCTTGCATATGTCCTTACTGGCTTCAATATTAACTAGAAATTTTTTACTAATAACCTAACGTTCCTTTTGACAGGGCAATGACTCAAGTTTATGTTTCACACATTTTTTGGCCAGAGGAAAGATATCGGAAAAATGAATTATCAAATTTCACTAATGTGTATGTGAAAAATTTTCCGGAAACATATACGGATGAGTATCTGAAAAAGTTATTTGGCCCTTGTGGTACAATAACTAGTGCAACTATAATGAAGGATGTGAATGGGAAGTCAAGGTGTTTTGGTTTTGTAAATTTCCAAAGTCCAAATTCAGCAGCAGCTGCAGTTGAGATGTTAAATGGAACTACTGTCATGGATAACAAGGTTTTATTTGTGGGGAGAGCTCAAAGAAAAGCAGAAAGAGAGGCTGAGTTGAAAGCCAAAATTAGCGCATATGAAAAATTACAAGGAACTAATTTGTACGTGAAATTTCTTGATGATGACGTAGATGATGAAAAGTTGAGAGAAGTATTTTCTGAGTTTGGAACTATAACATCCTGTAAGGTGATGCTGGATGCACATGGGCATAGCAAGGGATGTGGTTTTGTGGCATTTTCTACTCTGGAGGAAGCAAGTAAAGCCTTAAAAGAAATGAGTCACAAGTTTATTGGACAAAAGCCTTTGTATGTTGCTATTGCCCAGCGAAAAGAAGAGAGGAAGGCTTATTTGCCGGGTCATTTTGCTGAAATGCGTGCAAAAAATCTTGCCTGGAAGGAAGCTTGGTGTCGCTCTAGAGAGTCCAATCAACTTATCAAGGTCTAGTGGTCCAATTTTCTTATTTTTCAAAATTTTCCCCTAATTCTCTTCTGATTAACTCATGATATGATTTTTTTTCTATTGAGATAGATAACATGAGTTGGCTTCAGAGAATAAATGTTATCCAAGAACCTGCAAAGCTCCCAAAATTCATTCATGATCAGGAGAAGCAAAATATGATGTTAAATATTATTGCACCTCACATACTTCTCGACAAGGTTAGCACATTATTATGGGAATAATCCTCTTTTCAGCTTCTAATGATTTTGTACATTGAAGTTTCCTTTTTCATTTGTTCGTTATCTCTTTGGTATTCAACATAAATACTCATTTTTTCCTGCAAGATTTAATGTCAAAATTATTTGATTTGTTGTTGCTTGGCACAGTGAAAATGTTGAAGGAGAAATTGACACTGTTAACTAGCCACATCAATCCTTATTTTTCTGTGACGGGTAAGTCTTTTAAATGCATTAAAAATATTTCCTCTCATTTTGATATATTTCTATAATACTCTAAAACATTTTTTTATTATGAAACCATAACTACATTTTCTCTAATGTATAACTTAAGAACGTATTTGGAACACACAATAATTTTCTTTTCCTATAAATGACAGGTGGAGAAGATGAGAGTTAATGTGCTTAAGATAATCGACCACTCACTACCTATATTGGCTTACCTCCGTAAAGCATACGTTTCTCCTATCAGTTGTGATGCATTTCATGTAGGTTGTATCCCTGGTACTCTTTTTCCTTTCTGAGGTTTTCCCTAATGGGTTTTTACTCGGAAAAGGTTTTAATGAGGCCAGGTGGGGGCGGGGTTTTCAATGTAGCTTTAGCCCTTTAGATTTTTCTTATGGCTTTATGCCTTTTTTCATATTGTAGTAACTCTTTTATTTGAATAGAATAAAAGCGAGGTGATTGTGTAAGACTTTGCTCAGACGTGATTGTGTATGACTATTCAGTACTTTAACACTTTGCTAACTTTACTGACACTTGGGATAGCCAGTGATGCTTTGTTGGGATTTCCATACAGATTAGATCTATCAAATTCATAATGTCAATAGCAGATCAACGATACATTAAATGAAACATACATGACACATTACGACTAAGAAAATAAAATGCCTTAGTTGTATCCAATCACATAGGTGGATCTAAGCCACAAGAAAGCAATCCTTATGCCAAATTCATTGAACAACAAGTGAAAATTAGGACAAGAACCGCATATAGTGATGCAACCAATAATTTATAATATGCCTGAACTAACATAGTTCTACAAAATCAAAACGGAATAAGCAAATATGAAGAAGAAGAAAAACAAGTGAAACGAAAATGATTCTATGAACTTGAAAAACAATTGAATCCTGGAGAATACCGCGTACCAAACGCCCCCTGGTGAAAATAGATCCTATGAATTTGGAAAAGAAAATGATTCTATGAATTTGAAAAAAAAATAGAAAGTAAGAAATTGCGTTGACATTTAGAGTTATTTTCTTAAAAATGTAGTGAGGTTCAAATCACCAATCAAATGCGTGGTTTTCCTTTTGTTAACTTTTTAAAATGTTTTTTCTTTTTCACAAAAAGAATATGAAACTTTAAATTTTTAATCTCCAGTAATCTAATTACACGAATTAAAAAAAAAGCAATAAATTCGGTTGACATTTTGAGTAATTTTCTTAAAAATGTAGTAAGGTTTCAATTCACCAATCAAATGCATAATTTTTCTTTGGTTAACTTTGTAAAATATTTTTTTCTTTCTTAAAAGTTTAAATTTGAAATCTACTATAAATATGTAATATTAAAATTCTTCGCTACAAGTTCAATCCCAATTACCTTTTAAAAATGCTTTTAGTAAAAGCCATTTCTTTCTATTCAAGAAAAAAAAATTATTTTTTTTTGGGATTACTTTCAATCCGGATAAAATCTTTATCCTAAGTTGAAGGCTTTTAACTGAATTTTAATTTACTATCCCTTTGCGAGTTTGCTTGGAAATTATTATATATATTCTTCCGTTAAAATAGAATCTAATAATGGGTACTAAAATAATTACGTAAAAATTATTAAAGTGATTTTAACATATCTTGTGATAATTATTCATAGACTAGTTTGTTGGATTGGACAGTGTAGTCACCAAATTTTGTCCAGAAAAATTTAAATTTTAACAAAATAAAAAATCACTGATGTAGCTTCTGCAACGGAGGTTGGTTACTGTTACAAGAAATCATGTTGCGTGTGGGAGTGGATAATAAGCAGAGAACTAAAATGGAAAGCTGAAGAGATGTTCATATGGTTTGAAGGTGGTACCTATTATCCACCATACAACATCCGAAAATCTCTTCTTTTTCGTTGCCTTATAAAAAACACAAGCGCAGAACACATGGGGAACCTTTTTCTGGAGCTTCTGGTTACACAAAAAAATAAAAAATACAAAGGAGAGAAAATAAGAGAGAAACCCATCCATCTTCAAACACAAATTCAAAAAAAAACCAATACAGTAATAAATATCTGTGTGCCATTTATTTGAACCATTAACCATCGCAACACCATTATCATACCATGAAGCTCGTCGGGCTCGTGTAGTAACTGTCGTTGGACCACCGCCGCTAGACCATCGGAGCACCACCGCCGTACCACGGCGAGCTCCACCCGCGCGCCTCCACGCACACCACCTTGCGCCACCGCCCAAGCCAGGATCACCCATCACCTTGTTACCGCCCCCGTGTGGATTTCCTTTGATATTATTTGGAGAGATCTCTCATAAAGAAATAGTGTTTCACTAATTTAATCTGAGGAAGGAATTAGCTCATTTGTGACAACTCGTTAATTTCATTATTTTTATAATCATTTTGACTGTGAAAGTGATTTTAAATCATTTAATAATAATAACAAAAAAATTTATTTTAGAAAATAAAAAAATAAAAAAATTTAGTCTTCTATTAATTGAAACGGGGTTAGATGAGCCGTGACGGCTCGTTAACCCAACATTATTTTGTTTTGAATCATTTTAGCCGAGACAGCCTAGTGATTCAAAAATTATTTTTAAACTTAATGTAAAAATTACAATAATAGAAAATAATAACTTCAAATATATTTATTTTTTTAAAAAGAGGAATTAGTTGAGTTGAAACAGCTTGTTAATCCCGTAATCTTTTGAATCATTTTAACCGTCACGGTTTGGTGATTCAAAATTTACTATAAAATTTACAATAATAAAATACAAAAATATTTAAATAGATATAGATCATCGAATCCAAAAGTTTCCAATGAGATTCTCTAAAATTATTATTTTTTAAAATTATAATCAATCAACACACAAATATTTTCTACAGAACGACGTGATTTTTAGTTCCCTATTTTACCGAGGGATACGTCGGAGTGGGACACTTCCCGTCAAGCACAAAAATAAATTTACAAAAATTAGTTTTCTTTTCTTTAATCAATTTTATTTAATTCTTTAGGGTGAAATAAAGTATTAAAATCTTATCAATAATTTGCACAATTAATATAAGGTAACCGTTTTTTTTAAACGGACAGTGAAGGGTGCTAACACATTTCCTACTCGTAATCGACTCCCGAATCCATTTTCTATTTCGAAGACCAGATTTCAAACAAAAAGGGTTTTTCCAATGTTTTCCCAAATAAACATCGGTGGCGACTCCATTGTTTTTTAAACTTTCAATATCTTTCGCTGTCACGTCGCGATACAGTTGCGACAGATAGGATAAGGATAAATAGGATAAGAGGATTGCATAAAAGTTGGAAAAGATATAAATATGATAAGCTCATAGCATATCTTGTGTTTGATATACATTAGTTAAAGACTCTTATAGAATTGTGTTATCCTGTGATCTTTTGTTTAGATAGACCAAATAATTTCAGGATATGATATAAACGAATAAGATACCCTTTATAATATAATTTTATAAAAAAATTCATAATTAATTTTTAAACAGTTTTTTACTTTATAAATTAGTTTTTATTATAAGTTCTTAAAAAATTTAAAAGTAATAATTTTAAATTAAATATATAAATAAATAAATAAAATTTATAACATTAAAATACTATATCTTTACCAACTGATTTAAAAAAATAAAATTGATTGATAATATTCATGTAACAGATAAATTCATTTTAATATTAATGCCCACAAAAATTAAAAACAATTAAAATAGAAGAAATGAACTCATTCAGAATTTGCACTTCTCTTTCTCTCTTTATCTAGAAGGGGGGCATAAGTTCCAATTTTTCTTCGAACCTTTTTGGTTCAATACCCGAATGATTAGAACTTGTTGTTCAGTGGTTCACAAGGGCAATGAATGAGAGTTTCTGGTTTGAACTTTGCATGTTGAAGTGCAAAGTGCAGGTAATACAACCACTCTCGATTAATTTGGTGTTGGAAATTGACAATCAAAAATCGCAAACGAAATAGAGAAAGAGAGAGAATAGACACAGTGATTTATCCTGGTTCATTCAATTTAGACTACGTCCAGCTTGTCTGTACTATATTCACCTCACCGCCACTGTTACAAGTTATTCCATTTACAAGAAAAATATAAATAAGATTAGAAAAATCTTAACAACAGCTATTCGTGGCTCAAGCCCAAACTACTAAGAAAACCAAAAATTACAATAGATCAAAGGCATACAACAGTACCTAGCCTCTACAGGCCCAGAGGCGCCACCCGACCTCGTCATGGCGGCTCCTTCTGACCTCCGTTCGCTTACATGGGAGCGAAAACCCTGCTGCCTTTCTGCTAATCTCGACAACAAGGGTCCCCGTCAGCATGCGAATACCCAACCCAACATTAAGAGCAAACAATGAGAAAATTGTTGGGCATCATAATTTAGAAGATGTAGAGAAATTTCTTGATTTTGATAGCAAAACTCTGTTATCGGACTTCAATTAGTACGTGGAGAAAAAATGAATGAGCGACGATTGTGGCAGGGGTAAGTTTGATATGGGGATATGGAGGCAGCATCGATGGTGAATGAGAAGGGGTTTGTGATTGCCATGGAAATATGTTTTTTGTTAATTATTTTAATAATTCAACATAAAAAAAAAATGAATATCCTTTTTTGTCTTATTTTATTAATATAATGTCATGGAAATATGTTAATTATTCATTTATAAATTAATAATGAAAAATTAAACCAAAAAAAATCCCTAAAATAAGAAAGTAAAACTCGTCACTTTAATTATAAATCATTGAGCTGCATGTGAATGAATGATTGAAATCTTAATCATACAAATATAAAAAATAAGAACATCCATTTCCCATAAAAGGCTTAAATATCAATAACTCAAACAAGAATTAATCCCTCTTGAAAAATAAAGAATAAGGCTAGCTAGACACAAACGCAGAAACCATACATGATGCAACCACTTTATGCCCGTGATATCTTCATATATATGTTACTAAAAGAAATTATAATTTATGTTTACCCAAAAAAAATAAATTATAATTCATAACATACCATTACTTAATTTGACATCACAATACGAAATATATCATACAAAATTTATCGATATTTTTTTAAGATAAAGAAAATTCAAGACATAACATATAATCTACAAAACATGTAAAAATATAGATCAGCAATATAATATATACATTTATGATTTTTATCACATATATAACATTTTTCACATATATATTACTGTAAATATATACGATAATTTTAAATTACAGAGTTATAATTTTTTTAAATATAAATATAATATATATGTCTAAATGTATAATTAAAATATGGAATAATT